AATACAGTGACAGTCATCCAACGGAAATTGCCATTCGTGAATACATCTAGCTTTTCGCAGAAATCCACGTTTAAGGTGCAATGTAACACCAACTCGTGTTTCTAAAGTCCTCGAGTAAGATGCCATCTCAATTGTGATTTCTTCTCCGATTTTTTTTTTCTGTCCTAGCCGTTCAAGTTTAAGTTTAGTCTGATCTCCCGTCTTTCTGCCTAAAACATTTACCTTGATGAACATTTTCTTTCGATTTTCTGGAGACTGTCCGATTAAAACAAATTTTAACATGAGCTCGTTTGTTTTCACGTCGTATTTGTATTCAGCTCCTATCCAAAAATCTATGTTATGTGTCAAATTCCGTTGTAAATTCAACGTTGTCCTCTGTTTGACACCGGTTTCATTCGCACCTCTTGTTTCTGATTCCGTTTCTGACTCCTGTCCATCTTTTTCAGCTTGTTTTGTCTTGCATATGCTGTTGACTAAATCAAACATGATTTTATTCATGTCAACATCTTTGTGCTGACGAGTATGACACGAACAGTTCCTACTTCGCTGTACCGAAATGTCCTCTGGGAGCATTGAATTGAATATTTTTTCAAAGTTGTTGTCCGGAACCGCAGGTATGTGTATCGCAGTAAGAAGGCCACCTGTGGACATTTCTGCCCTTTCGAAGCTTTCTTTACAAACATCAGTTTGAAATGGTTGCAACAAGTCTAATTTTGCCGGCTTTTTCTGTGGTTCTTGTGTAACCCCATCCCGGTAGACGCGAAAAGATTGTCTTCCGTAGTCAATTTCAATTTTACAAAGGCTCATCTTTCAAGTTTTTAAATGATAGAACCTTGCAAGTGCCTACATAGTGTGTTTGAAACCTCTTTTTATAGCATGGTCATCCTTAAAATTATCAAATGTTTACGTAAACTGGATAGGTGTTGCTATAGTTACGAAAATTATCAACTTAGGTTGGCATTCATATTTCGTAACCAACAAACTATGCCTTTATTTTCTTAAACATTCTTGTTAAACACCGTATTCAAAGGATTGATTTTCTAATTGAGATCCATTCCAAGTTTTTGAGCACGCCTATAAGTATAATAATATAAATCGTTGTTTTAACAAAAAAGGATCATGAATGAATTTTGTTAAAGTTCTTTCCCTATCGTTAAAATGGAAACGGGTAGAATTATAAATTTCGGTTCATATGATGCGATGACAGTAATGTAATTTGGGGTGAAACGGCAATCAGTCAGTGTATTCTCGATGATTTCATCGTCTATTATATTGTTTAAAAATCTGAATTAATTTTTATTTTTGTAAGAGTTTCATGAGAATATATATTTTACTATTGCACATCAAACAACACCTGATTTGATGTGTGTGGGTGTTAGTTTAATTACTGCCACTGAAATTCTATGCGACAGATTTAATTCCATAGCTGCTTACATTCGTTGATTCAAAGCAAACAAACTTTCTAAAAACATGTAATGATTGAATATGAAGAAACAAAACAATTTCCAAATTATTTTAAATGAAATAAATTATTGGAATGCTTGATTATAAGTAATCTGCTCCCAAAAGTGACCTGAAAGAATGAAAAACTCATTTGAAGGGCCCGATGGTGTCAAGTAAGGTAGAATGGTGATCACCTGATTGTTTTCATCAAATTGTTGAAAATGAATGTTTACGAGAATTTTCTGCGCTATATCATATATACTGTATTAGCGTTTTAGAACCTTTGAACCTTGCTTCCCGCCATCGAAAGATTTATTGTGGTATTTCTATGGAGTTTTAACAAAAATTTCAACTTTCAGCATTGTAATTATTTGACAAAAAGTAAAATAAAGACTTATATCATATACATGTACCTTATATACCTTACATGAATATATTTCTTCTTTATTGCTTGTTATTTATATTAGTATCATCGGGCCTTTGAATAGTAAACTATTCATTGTGACGTCAGCGGTCAGACATGCATGCAATATATAATACACATGTATAAGAAATAGCACGGGAGCGTTGGACCGTTACTCCGGCGACCTGGACTCCATTCCCGGACGGTGCAGGTCACTTCCGTTGTGGTTGATCATGAAATCTTTCTTACAGTCATTCGCATGTACCTCTGCTCTGGAATGTACAGAAGTTTGAGTTCCTTGCGAAAGTGGAGAAAACTAGATTGGTAAACTGCTTGACAGCCTGCCCAGGAACGATGCGGTGGCTGAACTGTGTCCTAATGAATTCTATATTGCTTACTTTCGTGATCCTGAGTGAAAACTACCAACACACAGTACTTTGGACCTCATAGCATTGTAGTGACCTCCCAGTCAGTCCAAAACATTGAACAAACCACGTCCTTCGGCTACGGTCCGTTGAATGTTTGCAGGCTCAATGATCGGTCACTATAATGATATGAGGTCCTAATTGATTTCTGAAATAGAGAAGATATTACAAACTCGCATCAAGTGTTTGTGTAAGCAGTGACTTTTGCATCACCCATCCTGTGCGACAAAACAAGTCATTTTGTACTATAAGTATATATGCAAATAGAACAGGATTGACCCCGTTAGTCATTTCATAACGAAATTTACTTTTTTCTTGTTTCGTAACCGAATATTAACAAAGGGATGGAAGTACATATTTATGTGTCATCATTGATTTCTTTACCATCTGGTGACCTCGATATTCGACAGGAATGTAAACATTTTTATTATCACATTTTAATGGTGATAAAATGTTTTTGCAACAAAGACAATCTTATGAGTCGCTTTTATAATATAACATCTTTAAAAGATTATTTTCTGTTCTTTCCATGTTACTCGTAAGAATATTCATATTTAGTTTAAATATATTAAGTTATTTCAAACATTTTGCACTAAACAAAAATTACATACAATAATGAGTAACCCAATACAATGCTGAGAAAGTATCAGACCCCAAAGCATAAATTGCTTATAAATATAAAATTTCTACCTCAATCATACTATTTCCGCTCTTGTATGTCCTGGGTTATTTTCAGAGATGGCGCATGCGAGGGTTTTTATGCCCTCATGAAGAATAGTGAACATGTTGAAATATATGTTTTGTTTTTCAAACAAAATGTGGGCATAATTTTAAACAAAATATTGATTTTATATAAAGCTCAGTTCGAAAACAATCGTTAAAAAACGTTATTAAAAAGACCGATGTAATATTGGCGTTATAAAAATATCAAAAATAGAATGGATTTATTACTTCTTTGAGATATAGTACATTTCCCCTCAGTGACTTCTTTTATGAAAGAATGCTTTTTCTCACTGACTGGCCTAATTTAAAGAGCTGTTTTATATACGGAAACAAAGTAATTACCGCTAATAGTTCTAAGCATATCAATCAAGGGGATACAAAGGTATGTTTCTTAAAGAAAAACAACATATATATTCAATTACTGAAAATGTTTTTGTCCGGTAGATGGTCTCCTGGTATGAAATAATTTGCTCATAGAGGCCTTTTTTCCAATTTATCGATATATAATCAAAATCTGTTTAAAAAGAAAATAAGTTTCTTACTCTTTTGGCAAGTTTAAAACTGGTAGATTTCTCATTTGTAAAGCCTCGCTTGAGTTGGAGAAATATATCAACATATTAACTAAAAATCGTATAAATTTATAAGTTCACGCTTTGACACTTTTATGTTGTAATACAATTCAATACATTTGTATATTATTATTAATTTCGTTATAAAGATATAGATGATTGCTTTAAAGGGTTTCAATAGAACTATATTTGTTTAATTTTGCAACTTTGTTTGTAATTGTTTTTATGTTTTAACTAATGCAAATAGGCTTCAGCCAATCGAAAGGAATCGCATTAATATAACTCATTCAAAGTCTTGACATGTGATGGAGCAATAATGATGATAGTTTTTTTCGGGGTTGTTGTTGTTGTTGTTGTTGTTGTTGTAGATCTACAGCAAAAAAATGAAAATGTATAAGAGGATGAACGATGACGTCATGTTCACGTCATCACGTATGAACACGTGAAACAAAATTATCACGATATAAGAAAAGTTTCCTGAACTACGCACAGGGTGACCCCGGAAAATGTTATCTAATGCGTCAATTCAGTTTTGACCTAAGACCTCTTTCTTTATGGGCTTTACGAATTTAGTTTGCTTTTGAAAAGAATCGAAGTGTTGCACAAGAAAAGAAATTTTACGAAATTATATGCCTATATGATATTTTTGATATTAGTTTTAAGGAAACAAAGACATTTTAATTAGACAGGGGTCATTTTTCTCTTAAAAAATCACGATTAGCAAATATTTTTATAAAAGAAGAATTCGGATATACACACTAAACCAGTCGGGAATAAGCTAGTTACTCACTGACATGTCGCAAAATGAGTATTTAAATAATCAAATAAGACGACGAACATAAAATATAGAATCCAACTCTTAAAGATATCCTATGCTAAGAGTATCTTTGGGTTAAATATTTTTATTGCAGAAATTCTAGGAAATTCTAACTAAATATGCAAAAATCTGTGCTGGGGAAGCTTTTTTCCCTACGACTGGTCAAGTTGATTTGGACCTTTCCAAAAAAGCAAAACTGCAATGTGTTTAAAATAATAATAATAATAATAATAATAATAATAATAATAAAATAATAATAATAATAATAATAATAATAATAAAATAATAAAATAATAATAATGATAATAATAATAATTAATCAAGAGGAGGGAGATAACGATAATATACGGGTTTTAATTGGATGATTTCCTATTGACCTGTTATTTTTGGCATTGACCCTTGCCCAGCTGGCGAGGTTCAATCAATACAACAGTCCGAGACTAAATGCCAAGTTCAAAAGTTATCAACACTTTCGAACTGGCCCTTCTTCTCATTCCGTATACAATAAAAAACTTCGTTTTTCGTGCTTGCCCTGTTCCCTTCGTTTTTTTGGTCTTGATAATTTCATTTTAGCTATGTGTTAAATCTACTATATGTAAATGATTGAAAAAGAATTTACGAATTTTTTAAAAACTTTATTATGTAAAGAGAAACAGACACAATGTTTTATTGACATCATACATCATTCAAAACTTAAACAAATATAAAATGAATAAAGAAAAAACATTCGGATATATCGTTATGAACGACAAAATATAATAAAATACAATCATAAAATAAGTAAGAAAATAACTTATATATATATATAGATATATGCAATGTGTAAATGTAAAGATAATAATAATATATGTAAAATATTCATATGAAAACTTTTTGATTGAAAAAGAGTATAATGTAGAATACATCAAAGTATCTGAATTCATATACCCAAATGTCCTTCAGCGCTAAATAAATATACTTTTGATTTGCAAAATGTGTTAAATAGGATACATGTACATACAAAAATAAATTGATTCTTTTAACAGAAACAATTTTATGCACTAATACAAGTGAATTGAGTGCATGGTTATTATGCAACAAGTATTATTCAGTCACCGTTCCCTCTACGGCAGCAAGAAATGTCGGGCTGAACTTGATGACTTTGTGATAAAAACAGTTTATCAGAATCTAGTCGAAATCGCCTCCCTTGTTGGCTCTAAGGTCTTCAGTGAATTCTTTTCGGAACCTTGACTTGTCACCAAAGATGTAATGCTTCGTCATGTCTGGGGAATACTTGCTGGCGGGCGGGGTACGGCCGTAGACCTCGGCAACAACACGGGTAAGGTTGGCCGAGTTTCCGCAACACAGTCCGACGTATTGTATTCCCATTTCCTTACATTCCTTGGCAAACTCTTCCACCCTTGTTCTGCTGCACTGACAGGCGCAAAGGTCAAGGGGAAAAGCACGTTTTTCTGAAAATAAAAATGCAAGCATTTTTTTAAAAAGGGTCGTATTGAGTGGGTTTTATTTTGTAATTATAACTTTCACATGTAAATTCTGCATTTCTTGAATGGGTTATCATAAATGTATGACAAAGGTACCAAATTACAAAACAGTTGCAATGTCAAGCAGATAAGTTTTCAAACAAAGAATTTAACATGATTGATATTTTTAAACAATCATATCGAGTTTAAGACACTGATTACAAATATCTAAACAATTTATAGAGCTTAAAAGAGGACAATCTTCTATGTGCGCATGGTTTGTCTAAATAAGCAACTTGTTAAATAAACGCTTTTGGGTACTGTTGTTTGGAAAATAGTCCTTCAGAAGCAGTCTTATTGGGAAAAAACAAAGACAATTATTATAACAGTTACAATGTTTAAATGACTAACTTGTTCCTGGCACTGTCAACGCCGTAAAGACGGGCTCCTTGGGGGTTGTATTGTAAGGTACCGGTAAAGCTGCTATTGGTCCCTGGAACGAAATTGTAAGGGCACTAGTTTTGACAAATCGTAACATACCTTATTTCATTCATTCATTCATTCATTTTATTTACATTAATTGCATTTAATGTTATACCAAACCAAATAACTACATTTCCAAACAGTTCAATCAAGATATTTTTCATATTATTGAGGTCATATATTGAAAGAGCTTTGGCCTTAATTATAAAAAATAATTTCCTCACAATATAACCTTTTAAAAAAAATTATTTCCCACCAACACAGTCACCTGCGACTATGCAGCTTTACTGGTGAAAAAAACCTCATGTGGCCTTCCGTGCATTATTTTAGGCACGAACTGGCGCCTAAGTAGAACCACCGACGTTTCGTAAGCTAGCTGGATAGCTTCATCACATGCAAGAATCCCTGCCGGGATTCGAACCAATAGCGGTGAGGGGCAAGTGGCTTTTTATAGTCGACGACATTAACCGCTCGGCCATGGCGGTCTTGTTATATAGAATTAGAATTTTGTTTGTATTTTGTCACTCTACCTTGCATACAGCTTTAATTTGTTTCAGAATGGGCATCATCGTATCGGGTCCAGCGAAACAATTCAGGCCAACAACGGCAGCTCCTGCCTCCTCCAGGTTTTTACAAGCTTCTACGACTCCGACGCCATCTACGAGAGTGTCTTTGGCAGAAGCAGAAAGTGTTACAACGGCTGGAACACCTGTATATACATACATACATACAAACATAAGAGCTGTTTTCCTCTGTTTATAGAAGATAACGTGAAATGTAACCCTTCCAAAATATCAAAAATGTTATTATATGATGAATGAATCCTAAGATATTACTGGCCGGATTACTTATAACCTTGTGATTATGTATCATTACCATAAAGTTTTCCATCACGCTATATCAAAACCAACTTTAATGGTACCGTTTGATTAGAAAGGTAATTATGTAAAGTAAGTCAAAAATCGCGCTTCATTTGTAGAATAATACTGCAAATTCACTTTTTATGGGCATGACATTTCGTGGTTTTGTCAGAAAGGTCATTTTGGTGGGTTTGTCTATTTTTGCAAAATAAAGTTTATGTAAATAATGAAATACAAAATAGTATTAGAGAAGACGAAATGAAAATGGCTCTTAAATTTGTAGATTTGCCTATCAACGAAAAGCACAAAGTGCCACACAAATGAAAATGATTATGTAGTAAACTGTAATTATGTCAGTAATACAGGACTTTAATACAGATATTGAACAGACATATTACACAATTTGAAGAAGTCTAAATACCTTTTCCGTATTTCTTAATACATTCCAATGCCAGCATTGCCTCCCCAGTGTCCATGTATGTCTCAGCAACGATAAAGTCAGCACCCATTTCTACTGCGATTTCAATCTGCTCCTGTGTAACAAAAGGTTAACTCTTTGCTATAGATTCTACTAATATATAGAATTTTTGATAAGGGAATAAGACGGTATTCATGAACATGATAACTTTTATAAAACATTTAAAAGAGTAAAAAAAAACTATATGCCTTGATATAAACTCTGATTAAGGACTATTTTATTATCGATTTTTATACATGCTTTTGCATCAATGATTGTTAAAAAAAACAATTGGACGTTATTGAGATCAGATCAGACTCCCAAACCGTTGCCCAGTTTGATTCTTGGTTAAGAAATCCCTGAAATTTTAAAGCTATTTGCAATCCCAGAAACTCTAAATGCCTGATTTTGCAATGCCTGAAATCCAAAATTGAACAAATCACCAGATATCCATTACTTATGATTAGCAGGAGAGATGTGGTAATTTTAATTGAAATATTAACACTGATGTTATTCTCGATCTTTTCTTTATGATTATATGATATTATTATTTCAGTATTTTTTACTTTAAACATGCCCTCTGTAATTTTGTGCGATTCTGTATCACCCGTGACGTACACCGCTGAGTTACAAATGTTTCCCGCCATTAAACATCCATGTTCGTCTGCAACTTCACGTGCCAATCTTAGAGCAGCCTTGTTTATTGCTTCGAGGTCATCCTCTCTTCCGACCACACGCAGTTTTTCTCGGTGGGCATAATACTAATAAATAAAATAAAATAAAAAGAATAACTAAAAATTAAATGGCCTTTCCATTATAAAATGTTTCTATAAAATGCAAAGCTATGATCATGCGTCTACTTTTATTTGCTTCGAGTATTTTGCGCAAGAAGATAAATATACCTAAAGGGACATCACTGAAGTCAAAGAGTCTGAAAAAAATGAAAATTTGATTAACAATGGATCAACAAATGGAAATATTATATGAATTACCGTAAATGCAAGAATAACATCACTTCCGGCGTGCGCAAATTCCTCATACAACTGCTTGAGCACTTCCGGATGCTCAACACTAACAACGGGTACAAAAGGTCCCGCGGACATGTAGCCGCGTCGCTCAATCTCGAAAAGGAATCCTTCCGCGACAATGACGTTGCCTCCATTCTGAAGTCTTTCAAGTAGTCCTTTAGTGAAAAAAAAATGAAAAAATGTTATATTAATTATCTTTTTGAATTATTGCATGTAAGGTTTGAAAATCTGAAAACTATATTCTCTAACACTCGTGTGCCATCTCTTTAAAAAATAAATTAATATTCCAAATAGATATTGAATTAAAATGTATATAACACATATAATTTTTATATATTTGATTAAGTCCTTAAATCAGAAATAGTAATAAATGTTTACGTATTAAAATCGTCACTTATTGACACTAAATGCATTCTATTTTTTATATTTTTCCACAAAGATATCTGGTGTACCATAAGAAATCTAGTTAAAACAAATTATCATCACCAACACTTTTTTTGAAAATGAAATGATATCCGTGGTTAACATAGCAAATGTTAGTAAGCCGGCTTTAGTAGCATTACAAATTAACAATTTCCTTATAGTTGTCATTATTTATTAATCTATCAAACTAACTAAAGTTACGATTACATGTACATGTATATGTGTCTTTTTTCACAGCGTTTTGTCACTTATGATCTAGTCCGTGTCAATGTATTCGCATATGATAATGCTATAAGATAAATATAAAATCACTCGTGATCTGAACTTGTACTGTTGCTTATCTAATAAATTGACCTTAAAGGTTGAGATATGATCTACTTTATTGTCATTATTAAAAGCAAAACGTAAAAGCTGAACGCGTCCAGATAAGCCAAAATATCTTAAGAAAATTAAACTCGAGAAAAATGCACTAAAATTTTATGAAAGTAAAATGATTTAAAACGATTTAGCTTTAAGTAATAATTTACATGTTCTGTGCGATTAAGGACTGCTTAGCAGTATTTCCCACCATATTTATACTGCGTTACTCACGCAGTTAGGGTTTTGTTTGCTTATTTTGAGCTCTTCTTACAATAGTAATTAAAATGATTTCCAATGTGTAAATTATTTTTTATTTGTTCATTTCATAATATTTCTTTAAAATTGTCTCTAGAGGCCTACTGCTTTAATGATGCGCATTTTTTACAGCTATACACGTCTCGATATCTCTATGGAGTTTATAACCACGCTTATGGAATTATACAGCCCTTATGTCTACAATACGTGGTTAATTTCTTAATCAAGAGAGCACTGTCCTCGACCGAACTCGAACCTGCGTCGTTTCAAACCACGAAGCACGTGCTCGGTGTATTTTTTCTTGTTCTTCGGGATCATTGATTCTAGCCCGTAAATGTTGAAAATTGAATACCGCGTAAGCCGGTGCTGGGGGGCGTGAGAAATGTTGCACTTTCACATAATTTCTCATGAACAAACTCAAGCAAACCGAGTCTGCAATTGTCACACAATTTTGCAATTTAAGGTACTTCTGTGGGATCACCCTCTTTTCAAGATTTGAACCTGTAAACTATTGCCCCCCCCCCCCACCTCCCCGCTAAATGTGTGCTCGTGATAGTTCATTAAATCAACACTTTATCAAAATTACGTAACATCGATGAGTTATTATTTATTTACATAATAAATCAACTAATAGTAAATATGATATAAACATATAGTCATATAGTAGGTAACGGAGAGCATTTTTTTCATCATTATTTCTAATATTTCAAAAATGTTTAGACTGTTCACAGTGGACTAAGAACATTGGAACAAATTAATTGGGTTGTAGTATTAATATGCTATTCTTATAAAGCGTATCTAATGCATAACCAAAACTAAAATGTGGTATTCAAGCATATTCTAATATGAGACATTGCCCAACTTTATTACGTGCTATTCCCATTCGGCTATTCCGTTCATTAAAAATAAGTCTGTAAACTAAAATGAAAACATTATTTTGAAGTTAACGTAAGGTTTTTTATGTTGCTCTCTTAAAAGCCCGTACAGAAAGTTTCTACAGCGGGGAAAAATGAAGATAATAAAATTAATGAACTAATTAAGCTTAACTAAAAAATTGTGTGTTGTAATTTTTTTTTTAATTTTGCTCGTTGGCCTTAAAATGTTGCTATGGAAGAGGAGCAGCCATAATGTCAAACAGACAAGTGCCTACAAGAATATCAAATGAAGCTTGAAATATATTCATTGAATCGCATTGACATTAAATTATATAGTTATTTGCTTTTTGCCGCAAAATATAAAACAAATGACACGATTTATGAATACATGATTGTACTCTCGGAATTTTTAAAAAAAAGTTTTCATGCCGGATGTTTCAATGTATAGTGCAGATTGAAATAAAAAATTTACGACAAAAGTCATTGCTCAATAGCTAAAAGTCGTGAATAAGAGCATACTTGAATAAAAATGATACCGGCAAAATAAAAAGTAAAAACTTAAACAAACGAAATTGTTTTATAGATAATTGCGTAATATATTAAGATATGATATTATATGATAGTTAGACCTGGTATTGCCAAACAGTGTTACAAAATATATTTTAGGTAAAAAAGGTTTTCATGAAAAACCATAAAAGTAACGGATGAAAAGCAAATACCTTTCTTTGATGTCATCTTGTCTTTTGCTCAATATGCCTGTATGCTTTGCTGTTGAAAACGTTTTAGAAAACACGGACCGCAACATTGTGCTTTTATAAGAATATCTTAAGCTTTCGAGACCAAACCGGTTTTTTTTTATTTTGAAACTTTACAGGAAAAAAGGTTTTTCTAATACAGTTGAACCTGACATCTGTGAAATCCAAATAACGCTTAACTATTAAAAGAAGTACACGTAGTACTTAAAAAAAGTAAATATTAAATAATTCGTAAACTGTTTAGAAAGCTGTGTTTTCATTTAAACCGTACATATGCTTTATACTTACCTTTTTTAACTTTATTTCATTTGTTTGCTTTTTTTGTATTTTATCATAATTACATCATTATATAGGGTTGATAATGTGTACTTTTCACATTCTTACATTGAAAGAAAAACAGTTCTTTTATTTTGAGTCGCCAATTTGATAAAGTGATAACACGTGTATTGAACGATATGCAAGAATAGAAAATCCTGTAAATAGTTATAAGTATGTATACTTAAAATTTAATATAGTATATTATATTATAGTTAAGACAATACAAAATCAGCTTCAGAATGGTTCAAAAGTATACAGTTCGCAGTAAGCAGGTGTTTTTTGTTTGTTTGTTTTTACTTTGTCATTGTATAAAAGTGTCACTGTATTTAACGACATTTAAGTACGTTTACGATAGTTTCAAATTTGATCGAGTTAAATAAAATCCCGCTCTAAACTAGTCTGAATCGGATGAAATGCAATGATGTTCATCAAAACATTTTTATCTGTGATATTTCGGGCACATTATCTGCATGGCACAGAGGACATTCCTCTATTTTCGTCTTTAGTTTGGCCTTGTCCTCGCAAAATGTCAGTCAAATGATTTGTATTTGTTTGTACTTATAGCTTTAATAAATTGCATTGCAAAGCGGACGTTTCATGACCTGCCCAACATAAATCTTTCAAATCAAAATTTCTCGATCTTGCTTCAAAAGCCCCGCATAATGATGGAGTTGCCGGATGTTAAGGCCCAGTCACACTAGACTCCGCTTCCACGGCATTGTTAAATTTAACAAACCGATGCCGCTACGATGCTGTGGCAATGCCATGGCAATCTTACTGCGCTCACATCGGCGTTCTGAATTTTCTTTGGACGCCGTCGGAACGCTGCCCTAGTGTGACAGGGGTTTTACACCGGTCCTTTCTGGCATCGAACATTTATGTGTATATTCAACGACTGATTTGACGACTTTGTTTTAATTATAAAAGCTGTTTTCAAACTGTATCTGTCTTGAATTCATATAATTATGTAGGATGCCATGTGTAATTCATTTCATCATTGTATATAAAAAATGAATTATAAGCCAACTATTTTGCGCTATTGAATGTATTTTTCAAACTTTTCTGCACAGACATTGGTGCTTTGGAGCAGGCACATGGATTCCGGTGGTCAAAACAGTTTTTTTATTCGACAACATTCTTAAATCATGGTATTTTATTTGTTGAAGAAGCATTTAGTAGTATCGATACGAACTATATTTTTGTAAGACTAGGAAAAAATCAAAAAGATACCGAATCTATACGATTATGGATTAAAGATCGAAATACTCGTTTACACAACTTGCCCTTGGTAAGTTGTAAAGGAAAATATTTTAGATGTTACTATTGAGGTTTCAATCTACAATAAATAATTTAATATAAAATTTGCAATAACGTAAAGTACTAGCATTAATGCAGCCATTATAACATAATAACATTTTGATCTTTAAGGACCACAATTCCTATTGATGTTTACAAACCGTTATGGCCTTGGCCGTAATTTGAGTGTTTTGTTTTGGACAGATAAACTACTTCTCTACAGTCAAAACGTCGCAATTTGTCCTATCTATTTATTATTCGTCTGATAATAAACCGGTTTAACCAGGGTAACACACGGGCAGGAGATTCCGGTCGGTCGAGTCCGGTATATGCCAGTTATGAAAAGATAAGAAGACACGAGTGCGTTAAAGCATCTTCATCATAAACGTATGATAATAATTGTTGTATATGATAACGATATACCTTTACATTTTTTGTTATATGTAGTCCATGTATCGCACGGTTACGACCCGCAAAACGAACACCCGTATTACAGTTATATACGGGTGCTATTCGGAATAACGTTGTTGACGTAATCATCATTACGTCACGCTTGAATAAATCGCTATTTTTCCTTTTTCTTTTGGTATGAAATGAAGTAATAGAAAGATAAATATGGCAAAAGTGTTTATCAAAATTTGTGACTTTAACAACGACAGCGATGTTTGTTATTATTATTTTATTATTATTACTATTATTATTATTATTATTATTATTATTATTTCAATTTTATTAACTGACTGCGTTTGAGAAAATTACATATTCATGACTTGGCTGCTTTAAATATATTTTTTTCTGTCTAATACACTCTTTAACTTTGTCAACAACAAATACATATATATGCAATATGTCTAAATTGCTGTTTTAACTTACTTACTAAATTGACTTTGATAGGTAAACATTTAGAAGTAAATTTGAATTAAAAGCATTTGAAGTCTACACAAATGGAGCGAAGGTCCTTCGAGTATATAGTGATAGGTTGCGGAGGTATAGGAAGCGCAGCGTTATACTGGCTGTCTAAAAGAGTCGGCGCAGGTAAGATGCCTATATATAGACTTACATTAATATCCGGGCGATTCTTTTGTTTTGCATTTGTCTTTTAACTTTATATACTGTATGCATGCATCGCAATTTATTATCAATTTTCTTTTGTTGTTGTTGTTCTTCTTCTTTTTTTCTTCTTCTGTTTCTTTTTCTTCTTCTTCTTATTCTATACGGCTTATTGAAGTTGCCCCTCACTGCTGTGAATTCGAATCCCGATTCTTTTCATTTGAGGAAGATGAAGCTGGCTTACGGATTTGTCGGTAATTCTACTGAAGTACCCGTTCGTGTCTGAAATAATGCACAGAGAAGGAAGTCCACCAGTAAAGCTAAAAGGTCACATATGACCTTTACAGTGTTGGTGCGACGTAAAACCCAATCAAAAAATAAAATGAGCCGCTTAACGACAAAACCAACATAGTGCGTTTGCGACCAGCATGGATCCAGACCAGCCTGCGCATCCGCGCAGTCTGATCAGGATCCATGCTGTTCGCTTACCATACTATTACAAGTAGAGAAACTGATAGCAAACATCATGGATCCTGATCAGACTGCGCGGATGCGCAGGCTGGTCTGGACCCATGCTGATCGCAAACGCACTATGTTGGTTTTGTCGTGACGCAGCTCAAATGTTATTCACTTTAAAAATTTGTGCCGCGTTATACGAAAAGAAGTCATTTGATTTATTATATTGAAGTTACACTGTTTGTTGTTTTTCTTCATTTATTGTCATTTTCAGAATTATTTGCTCTTCACTGTTTTTGATAATGAGTCAGTAAGTTTATTCAATTAAATATATTTAGGAGGTAGCAAAAGCTCTATTTAATTTTCATTTTGTCGGATGCTTAACTCTAATCACTGGGAGAATTAAAATATACCCTCGCGAATGTGATTTAGACCCACGTCATTATAAACCTTATACCGTGCATGTTCCTTTTGGAGAACTTTTTCCCAAGTGCGGAAGATCATATATAAATTTCACATCCCGGCAAATCACGATGATAATTTTGTTTTCTAACAGCAATGAAATCTAATTACAGGCGTTCTTGGTATAGAGCAATTTGAAATAGGGCACAGCAATGGTGGATCGCAAGACCATTCAAGAATCATGTAATTATAGAAAAATTATTTGTCGAACTATTGACAAGTTACAAAATTATAAAAAGTTAAAAATAGACAAATAAGAACACTTCTCGATTATGATAGATAACAATTAGTTTAATACATCAACAGCCCGTACAGATAAAAAAGTTCTTTCGGAAATTCTTTATCATTTTCCTAAGTCGTTATATATCAATTTGGATTAAGTAACATCTTCTGAACGAATTTGTTTGAAGTATCCTATTATATTTTGATAAAAACTGGTTAAAATTTTTTATATAAATATTTTCTTACTTTCATTTATAGGATGAAATTATCCGACGTGCTTTCTTTTCTCTTTCAACGTATATATAAACTATTATTACATTATTGTAATAAATAAACTATTATTACATTGATGTTATAAATAAACTATTATTACATTGTTGTTATAAATAAACTATTATTACATTGTTGTTATAAATAAACTATTATTACATTGTTGTTATAAAAAAACTATTATTACATTGTTGTTATAAATAAACTATTATTACATTGTTGTTATAAATAAACTATTATTACATTGTTGTTATAAATAAACTATTATTACATTGTTGTTATAAATAAACTATTTTTTACATTGTTGTAATATATAAACTATTATTACATTGTTTTAGTATATAAACTATTATTACATTGTTGCAATACATAAACTATTATTACATTATTGTAATAAATAAATTATTATTACATTATTGTAATATATAAACTATTATTACATTCTTGTAATATATAAACTATTATTACATTGCTGTAATACATAAACTATTATTACATTGTTGTAATAAATAAACTATTATTACATTGTTGTAATACATAAATTATTATTACATTGTTGCAATACATAAACTATTATTACATTATTGTAATAAATAAACTATTATTACATTGTTGTAATATATAAACTATTATTACATTGCTGTAATACATAAACTATTATTACATTGTTATAATATGTAAACTATTATTACATTGTTGTAATAAATAAACTATTATTACATTGTTGTAATACATAAATTATTATTACATTGTTATAATATGTAAACTATTATTACATTGTTGTAATACATAAACTATTATTAAATTGTTGTAATACATAAACTATTATTACATTGTTGTAATACATAAACTATTATTACATTGTTGTTATAAATAAACTATTATTACATTGTTGTAATACATAAATTATTATTAAATTGTTGTAATACATAAACTATTATTACATTGTTGTAATACATAAACTATTATTACATTGTTATAATACATACACGATTATTACATTGTTGTAATATGTAAACTATTATTAAATTGTTGTAATATATAAACTATTATTACATTTGTGCGTCTTCCCAAGTCGAACAGCTTACCACGATGAAATGTACACAAAAATTGTCGCCGATACATACACAGCGTGAGTATTGACCATATATATGCTGTTGCTGATTTTTCAAACATTTTTGTCATTGTTTTTACTCGATCCTACAAGTGTCAACTTAATGCATGCAAGCATACGGCTTAAAGTTATGTTTATCGTCAACAGTTTCAAAACAATTTGTGCATGGGTAACTATATGATAGATGATGACTACATGTATTTCAGATACATTGAGACGCTGAACCCTGCAGTTACTCTTTCTCAAATAAACATTACCATAAGTTAATAAAAAATTCAAGCTTTTTTGTTCACAAATTAAATCGTTAAAAACCAAATTATTATCAAAATCTGGAAACAAAGTGATCATTCGGAAGCATTAATCACAACAAAATTACATGAAAATTGCAGAGTCGGTTTGATTGAGTATGTACATGAGAGACAATGAATAAGTGCAACATCCCTCACGCCCCATAGCACCAACCTGCAATTTTTAGCTTATATTAAGTATTAAAGAAAAACGATTTGCCGTAGAATATTTATTTAAGTATTTTAGAGAATGCATAACTATCATCCTATTGTATGTTTTAAAAAAGTTTTGAGGAGGCCGAGAAGGAGTCTGGAGTAAAGCTTGTACATAAGTGTGGAGGATTGTTGATAGCAAAGAAAGGAGAGACGGACGATGTTGCGACTAAGTATGCAAACGCAATGGCCTCCCAGGACCTTCCGTAAGAACCTTAACAAAGTCTTATCTTATCTAAATTTGCGTCCGTGGTTTTGTCACAAAGAACATTTTCGCGGATTCTTAAATTCGTGGACTGTTTATTTTTCCAAAATGTTATATATAAATAATTGGTATGCAAAATAATCTTACAGCAGACGAAATAAAATTTCTTTAGATTTTAAATTCGTGGATTGACCTATCCACGAAAACCACGAAAATTAGTTCCCCACAAATAATGATGATTTTGAAGGATATGAGATGATAATTTGAAGTTCTGTTACGTACATCATAAATTGAATGCAAAATCAATGATATTTATCCAATTTCCTGTTATTCATTTCAATGTCATGAAACAATTAAATGAAAAAGGATGATTACAAATATTTTGTACGTCAATAGAATCGCAATATTCTTTCAGTTTCGAATGGTTGCCGGGCAACAAATTAAAAGAAAAATTTCCACAGTTTGAGCACACTGAAAATCATGTAGCTGTTTATGAAAAGGATGGAGGACTTGTTGATGCTGCGATGGCCAATGCAGTTCATATACAATTAGCGAAAGGAAATGGAGCGGCTGTAATTGAACATTGTCCCGTAAATAGGTTAACAAAACAAACCAACGGACAGACCACGGTAAGTTAGGAACGCTAGTTCTGTCTTGAGAACTTGTTTTAGAAATTTAAGTTATGTATCTGTATCTGAAAATCTAACAAACTTCAAAAACCATACATGCTATTAGGTATTTTATGTCCCCGGGCTGTCCGCCCGTATTTACGAGATTAAGCTAAGCTGGAAAAATTCATCTGGTGTTCTTCCTGTACCAGTGGCTTCACGATAAACACACCGCGAATACACATTACATGATATTTGCATAACTAATGCTTTCATTTTCCCCTAGTAATTTCCATGTTTAGCACTTTGAAAATACTAAGGATAACTGTTCCGGCAAGTGGATATATTTAAATTACATTTGTACTTTTATTTATACCAATGCCTTCAAACTACAGACATTTACTTATCAATGAAAAGTACTATATCTTTGGCAAGTAACATAACTGTGGCATCCATCTTTCCAAAGTTATTTTCCTTTTTATCACTTTAAAAATAGGACCTGGTATTGTGAACCTTTTCCGGCAAATTGGATATATACTTGTCTAATGTTTCTTCTGACGACTTTATTTACTGACTGATGTTTTTTCATGTTTAGAAAGTGGAAATCTTGGATAGTTATCTAACGCTGGTCTGCGTTTATGGTCACGAAGTTAAATTCACTAGTGCTTATAATAGATATTTACACTTTCTTCTCATATACTAGTACTGTATAGATCCTTAATCTTTTGACCGATGTCTTTCATACTTGGTAGATTTTGATAGGTTGTGCTCTAACTTGGGATGGAGAGGAGGTTCACAATGTCAAAGTCACATGTGCAAAGAACCTTTTTGTTTCACTTTTTCTCAGAAAGCATTTATTTACGTACATATGGTTTACATATTTGGTAGGTTCATACCTTAAGTGGTCATGGTGTTTGAAGTCATTGGGTTTAAGGTCAAGGTCTCCCATTATGTATACAACATGTTTTTGGTAAACCTTTATTGGTAGGTTGAATACTTTTCAATTTTATCAAATAGCAAAAGCATGTCATTTTATTTATTTTATTTTGTTCAAAAAAAAAAGATTTTTCTGTCTGTCAAGTAGACAATTTTTCTTAATCAATTATCCCTTCCTTAAGAGCGTGAAAGGAAAAATAATCTATTTGCTTATTTGGTTAGTAACAATAATCAGGGCCGCGAGATATTTGTCTACCAAAGTCATTTTTGTATTAGAATTTATGGACAATTTCAACTTCCAAATGTAGAAAAAATGTAAGAGAACCTTATGTCTCTCTTCTTCTAAATAAAAAAAGAAAACAAATTTACTAGAAGCTTACTCAAAGGTATTTGAATCAGGTATTCAACAAGCTTTTCAACCAGTTCCTTTTAGTTGTCTTATGTTTTAGTTATGCTGTTTATTTTCGTCTTCTTACTGGCAATTGCCACTACCGCCAATGAACAGTGCCAAGTTTGCCTATTTTGTCGGTATTTGCTTATGAATATTTTAAGATTTTTATGCTTTTTATTCCTGTATTTTCTAAATTGCTCCTTTATAGGTCCATACCACTAAAGGTAACTTCACATGTAAGAAGGTCATAGTAACGGCTGGGGCGTGGCTTAATCAAGTGCTAGGGTCGATTGGCGTTCATATTCCAGTTTATGTCACACAGGAGCAGGTCACATATCTTGGCACGCCACATGTGAAAGATTTTGTCAAGGAAAAGTATGAAGTTTACCCATGCTATTTTATAAATTGTTTTGCTGATTATGTGTCGTTAAATGTATAACACCTAAATGTTTCAGATATGTTTAGGATATTAGAATAAATATTAACAAAACGTATATGTATAACAAATTAAGAAGCATTAAAAACAACAAATGAAACACACAAAATAAAAAAAATAACGGGGTAGACACTAAGACATAAACCTAAGCAAAATAAACCAAACTAAAAATCCATTTCTATTCATATATATGTATATATATTGCTCAACAAAATTGTATATGCAAGAGTGCTGTACTGTATAAGGATCAAACTATCATTCACTTACTTTTTACAAAGGACTATTTTGGTGCGTAAACGCTTGCCTTTGTGTCTAATTATTTGTCACTCAGCAAGTGTTTGCACTGATATTTAACTCTTGCGAACAGTATCTTCTATATTCTCTGTTTTCTTTCAGATTTCCTATTTTCATTTACCATTCAAAAGATCATGATATGTACGCATTACCTCTTCATGGGAACACGGGATTTAAAATTGGTATCGATGCAGGAGGTCCTGTAGTCACAGCGGGTACAAGGAACTTTACGCCGGACCCAGTCAGAGAGAAAAAATGCCTAGACTTCATCCAAAAAATTTTGCCAAAGGCTTGTATCTAAGTGTCTTAGTAATTTTACAATTAAATAAAATATATAAAGAAGACTCCTCGTATCATATTATACAAGTTACTTGTGAAGAGCAGAAACATACAAATTTGTCTAATATAGACGACTTAATTGAAGTTGTATTGGTTATGCATGATTCATCATGTTGATATTGAAATGGTGTAAAAAAGGGTTAAGTAAGATATAATAATTAATAACATACAAAGTAGTCTTCAGATTACATATGAGTGTGAACAAATATGTGTTAAAATACATTAGTAAAAACATATTTTGAATATGTTTGCAACGTTTCAAAACATGTACTAGTATTCTGATGTGTTCAATGGTTCATATATATTACCCAAATATAATCACTTTGCGAAAATCTTTACAACATTGTTATGAATGTGCTGCGAATAATATCAGTTCTGTTACTCAAATACAATTCATTCTTTCTTCTTCTCTACATTTAACTAATGACAATTTGGTGAACATCGTCTTGTTGTATGTCATCAGCAGTTCCCAATTCCTCCTTGGAAGTTGAGCCATAAAATGTTATAAAACAAATTCTAATAAATATTTTTATTGCAGGCAGTGGGACCAATTCTGTACACTAAGACATGCCTATACACGATGACGCCTGATCGAAATTTTGTAATTGACACGTGTCACAGACAGGGTCATGAAAACGTCATTATTTGCAACGGAGCAGGCCATGCTTTCAAGTAAACATTTTTTTACTATTTCAATATATTACATTACAATAAATATTATAAAATATATCAGTTTTTGAATTCATAAAATGGCGTCAATACGTTTTCATGGCAATTACAATTTCGACAAGCCTTCAGTTGTGGTAAAAACCAGTCGACATTGTTTTAGAGACCGCTCAAGAGAGTGTTAAAAAGTTGTCTCTGAATAGTATGGTCTCTAAACAGAATATAATAAATTTTGAATGAAAACAATTCTTTGTATTGCATATATCATGAATTTCATGTCATTGGTAAAAGGAAAGTTGTTGTTTTTTGAAAATGAATAATGCGTTTTAGCATTTCTAAGATTTGTCAAATGACTAAAATAAAATGTACACCAATAAAATTTACGAAAAGAATTTACATACTTTGTATAAAAAAATGTTCAAGGTCGCTTTATAGTTTCATTATAATGTGTATATTCTCTATTTAGTTGTTAAACACACGAGAGTGTTTCAAAAAGCTTATATCTTCCAACACAATCGAACTAAAATAAATATGTATAAACTAAGTCACATCTTGACTAATAAGTAAATAAAAAAGATATCAATAGGAAAAAAATACAAATGTTCTTGTACATCATTACTTTATGTTGTTTATATTTGAAACAGATGGAGTGCACTTTTAGGAAAGATACTTAGTGAGATGGCGATTGACGGTAGAACACAATACGACATTGCAGCGTTCACAATGGACCGAGACGCAATCAGTAATCCCAACTACAAAACAACAATATTTGAAGGTGGCAGTTTATCCGGAGGCAAAGACCATGCAAATGACAGCAAATCAAAACTTTAAAACCACACACACACATGTTAAAAAACTTGTCCTCCGACGGAAAGCTTGTACAGTTGAATCAAAACAAGATTTTGTTATTCAAATTAGTTTTATTTTGTGTTAAACTTATATTACTCCTTGGTAGTATCTACTAACAGTCATGGAGGGTGATCAAATGGCATATGTTAACAGTAAAATTCGATCACATCTAATAGTATTTGCTAAAATTTCGTTATATTTCAAAATTTGAAAAATGAATAAAAATTATACCATGTCCGAGGTAAATATTTGCTGATTCCAATGGTATATGTACATAAGCGAACAATGAATTAAATTAAAGCTATAATATATATTGTTTTCTTTTTTATTTTGTATTATACAGGAACGATATTATTGTTTTTGTTTTTTTTACTTTGTTCAGTTTTGTATTAAACAAAATGAGCCATCAATGTAAATAAAGAGTTTGTGTTTTCTGTACTTTTAGTTGTTATTCCTTACAAGTACACACATTTTTTGTATAAATGTCAGGAATTCATGTAACTTTGACCACAGGCAATCTATCCGAAGTACATTGTATACAAAAATATGGCTGGGTCTCTTTTATACAAAATGATAAATGAACGGTTGTATAAAATTGCAGGTTTCCATCAACGCTCTGTAACACCGACCTGAATAGTAGTCAATATTTATACATGAAAATGTTTAAATTTGAATTTAGAAACTTCCGTAAACGTCTTCAAACAAGTCGTAAAAAAAGCCAATAGCTATTTCATTTTACAGGATCTCCAATAAAACTAAAATCCTTAAAACATTAAATTTCTAAAATCTTACAAAGATCAACTAGGGTCCTTTAAACGGAAATAAAGAAATATGGAATTTTATTTAATTTAAAGTCAATATTTAGAGTCATTCTTAGCCAGATTTGTGATATTTTTAGGCTACTTTACACAATGAAAACGATTATTCTTGAAAACCGGAGTGAGCGGCAGATCTGAGATTTTGCACATATGTTATTGGTATAGACCTTAATCAAATGGTATCAAAATCTCGAAAAGCTTCTATCATGTCAAGAGGAGTCCCTTTAAAGTGGACAGGTCTACATGTGGCACATTTTCAATAAGTACGTTGTTTCAAATATTGATTAAAAAAACATTAGAAATGTATCATTTAAAGGATCTTATAGAAAAAATATTGAAATTAAAAAATAAAATTGTAAATGAAAATGTATTTGTAATTGTATTTTTAATTTATACTCGAATAAACAGTATCAAATTTGACATCGGTTTTGTGAAAACAATGGTATAGTTTAAAACAAGGAGATTTTGAATAAGTTAATGGTTTAGTTGGGAAATAGACAAATATAATAAGAAAATGCAGTGCCTGTGACTTCAGAAACAAGATCAGATTTCTTTGAAACACGATTCCGATTTCGTTAAAGAAGGGCGTGTTTAATACGAGTGAGTCGTTTTTTACGCCAATATGCAGCTTATGGCTTTATTTTTGAAACCGACGTCAGGAGAGATACCCATGCACATGATAGACTTCACACCTTAATTTATACTTCTGTACTTTGTACTTAATCTCCTTATTGTCCGAAGCTCATCGTGATCGACCTACTCAATTTGCCGGAACCAGTGAGAGATAAAAAGTTTCTATACTTCATACGAGAAATTTTGCGAAAGCCTCGTTTCTTAATCATTGGCCACAAAGAAAAAACGCGTGTCAAATGTCTTAGTAGTATAGTCAAGAGTAAATTGGCTAAATTGTTGTTGCATGACTTATGATACAGATATTCAAATGATGGAATTAAGGTTTAAGTAAGATGCATATAAGATCAAATACATAAAAAAAGCTTCAAGTGACAGAACAAGGAAATGCATATCCTGAATACGTTTGTAACGTCTAAAGTGCATTCTGAGCTCTTAAAAAGGCTACGTGTACTTCACAGATGTAACCGATAAGAACAAGTACATAAAAAAGACTTCGAATGACGGAACAATGAAATGCATACTAGTAATTTGAATATGTTTGTTACGTCTTAACGGCCCTATGAAAGGTTATATGTACTTGATATTGTTGTACTTTCATTATTGTACTTTACAAATGTTACCAATTTGCGTATTTGTTTTCTTTAGTAGTACATTTGCATTAGATGTATCACATTTTTATGACTCAAATACAAGTGAGCCGCGCCATGACAAAACCAACATAATGGGTTTGCGACCAGCATTTATCCAGACAAGCCTGCGCATCCGCGCAGTCCGATCAGGATCCATGCTGTTCGCTTACAAACCATATAACAAGTAGGAACAGCATGGGTCCTGATCAGACTGCGCAGGCTGGTCTAGATCCGTGCTGGTCGCAAAGGCACTATGTTGGTTTTGTCGTGACGCGGCTTAAGTTATTTCTATATCTGTAATACAATCAATGATGACGTCTTATTGTCTATCGTTAGTAAAAATTCCGTCAAATTCCGCTTCATGTACTTAACCCATTGGTATATTTCGTTTATTAACTATTCTATCAAATTAATCTTAATTACAGGCATTGTAACCGATTCTGTCCAGTAATGACGCCTGATAGAAACTTTTTAATTAACACATGTCACAGAGAGGGTAATGAAAACATCATGCTGAAGTTATTTGTCACGTAGTTGGTATATAAAGTTATATATAACATAAATATGAATATCTGAATTTCAAACAATGACGTCAATATATTTACATAACAATTCCAATTTTGGCAGATGAAACAAACACACAACAAGTTTCAATATCTTTATTAACAAGTTATGTAAAACTGACAAAAATAAAGATAAGCAAATGGCTCTTTGCTATCAAAGATGTTATGTTATTGTATAACTTGAAACAAATGGAGTGTACTTTAAGGAAAGATACCCAGTGAAATGGCAATAGACGGCAAGACACAATATAGTATTGCAGCGTTCACAATGGATAGAGAAGCAATAACCCCAGCTTCTAAAAAAAATCTTTTAACTTAAAGCAAAGCAAAACTTTAAAATATGATGAACAAGGTCAACAAGGAAAGGCGACGTGCAATGAATTAATGAATTAAACCACACTTGCCGGTTTCAAGCTAATTCTCCAACAAGAAACTTTTACAATTGAAACAAACCCTTATTTCTTAATTCAGTCTTTATATTTCTGAAAAATAAAAAGTGTGTGTCTTAGAATACAAAATTTTGTAGTAAAGAATTTAATTTATTGTTTGTTTGTTTTTTTTCGAATAAGATTTTATCGTTTGTTTTTTAGCTGCAAACAGTAAATGTACACACAGGCTGGTCATATCGCGATTTCAAATATGCAAGATTGCTGAGTTTTATGCTGCCGACAGTAATATGTTCTCAGTGTTAGCATTATAAGGTGTATTTTCGCTTTTTTTTCGCTTTTCGCTAAAGTTGCAGTGAGAAAACTTTCGATAACATGAATTTATTCGAAACGTTGAATACATGTATGTGTTCTAAAACTACAAATGTTTTAGAGGATGTAATTTACATTGACCCTTGAGCATTTCATTTGTGTTTTTTGTTTTATTTGATTGGGTTTTACGCCACACCGACACAGTATTGGTCATATATCTCGACGTTTCAGCTTTAATGGTGGAGGAAGACCTCAGGTTCCCTTTCGTGCATTCATTCAGGCACGAACTGTTACCTGAGTAGAACCACCGACGTTCCGTAAGCTAGCTGGATAGCTTCATCACATGAAAGAATCCAAAGTCAATGTCGGGATTCGAACCCACAGTAGTAAGGGGCGATGCTTTGAACTCAGCGACCTTAACCACTCGACCACGGATGCCCCATTGGCATTTCATATAAGAGGTTGCAGAGGTTTTTAGACGAATAAAGTAAGATATGAACTGAATATGAAAATTGAAATGATTTATTTTGGTTTAACATTGCATTCAACAGCTAAGGTTTATAACCTCTATCGTGGAGGAGGACAAGTTATTATTTACATGTGATAATCCGGCTTATACTTACAATGATGAGGGAAAGTGGAACAAGTTGGCTACCATTATCTTTAGGTTATTAAGGTTACTAGATACAGGCGGAGAGATGAACACGTTATACGCACACGTTATAAGAGGAGAACACTTAAACATCAATTCATCTGTCATTAAGAATTCGTAAACAAAGTGACACAGGGTAGATTATCTACAACTCCCGGCATAGAAAAAAATACATGAATAAATGATAATGTATTTTAATGACCTATTCTTATCACCAATTTTAACAGATGTCACAATTAAGCAAGACTAGATCTTAAAAGATAAATCATCTGCAAGAGGAAAATTGTAAAGGAAAACAAAATCAAACTGAAACCGTATTCCAATAGAATCCGTCAAGGACTTAAAAAGGCCAACAGATGATCTTTTTTTAAATGTTGTAAAGACATCAGCATGTACTTGTACTTGATGTGACAACAGGTGAGTAACATGGATGACGTCATTTATTTATATAGTAATAATCTCTGTAGATTCAAGGTTGGACTAATTTGTAAACAAGCTAAGAAAACCTCTCGAGCTGGCTTGATATGGTTGTATTTCCATTATTATAGTATAGCAATTAGAACGAAGAAGTTGTATCTCAAGAATCACTAGGTAAAATATACTTCCGTTTCTCCGTATGTATCATAAAGTTCCTTGTTGAGATCTATTTGATACCGATCGTACCAAATTTTTATTGTCTTGCCTTCCCCTTCAATTCTGACCCGATCTCTCAAGAACACACTGACAAATTCCTGTAATGCTTTCAAATTTTCCGGCGAATACTCGTTGTATGCATAGAAATATAATAATTCAACTACAGCCTTATACAAGTTTTTCTGCAACGTTTCTTCATTGTCTTTTGCCATTTTGGTCTCCAACGTATCAAAATTTGTGAAGCCTTCTTTATCATTCAGTTGTAGCTTACACAAATTATCAATAACACTGCCAAGATCTTGTTCAATTTTCAAATACTTATCTTGGTCTCCAATGATTTTTAAGATATTATGTGGTACAAAAAAGCTGGATAAGGTATTCATTTTTATACACTGTCGAAGTAGAAAGAACAGTTCTGCACGTCTTATTGGCAAGTTCGATTCAGACCAATGCTCAGTGTTAATATAATGTTCAAACATATAAAACATCATTGTCTTTAACCAGTAGGATGGGATGATAGAGTCAAGAATATAAAAATCATTGTTCCACGTTTTCGGTAAATACTTGCTGACCATAAACTTGACACAACGATATAGAACCCGTTTATTCTCCGCTTCTTTCATTCTCCATATTTGCATTTCACGTACAGCCATTGTTATTCTTGCTCGGCCATCAGAGCGTAGGACTATATGATTAAAATCACTTTCATTCTGAGAGTGTTTTGTTTCATCACTTATTCCAGGACGCCTTTGATCCAACACAGCTTGATTGAAATCTACATTGGTATGATAATTGTCGTAACGCTGTTGAAC